ATTCCGGTAGCTTGTGTGGTATCCCCTTATCTTTAGTTCTTAAGATATAATTCAGGAAAAACTCTTTTTGATCATAGTCAAGTGCCCAGCTCCTACCAGTATATTCTAATTCACTACAGACTACCAAATCACCGTCATAAACTAGTTTAGCATAGAGCGTTAGCTTCTTATTGATTCTGTCATCATGTAGACTTACAAACACTATTGCAATGTGATTAGGGTCCCGATTATCATAGTAACCTAATCGCCTAATCTATAATTGGAACAAAATGGCAATTATTATTTCACATACACTTACCAACAGACCCTTCTTTACTTTCAGCCAGAGGCTCTTCAGCGAATGATTATATGAATGATGAAATTGAAACATATCATCAGAAACCTGCTATAAGTAAAAGTATAATTAACTATTGAAACTAGGACTGACATAGATACAGAACTATGAGTTGGAATCGAAATAGTCTCGTCCCCTCCTTTGTGGGGACGAGACTAGAATGGAAATAGCTAAATCAGATGGTTTACAAGTGTCAGTGGTTAGGCATCTAGCATCTAACTAAATTTATATATACAAAAGTACTGATTAGCAGGGGCGGATCTAGGATTGACTTTTTGGGGAGCCCATAATGATATGGGTGGGGTAATTAGTGGGTGTGGTCAATTAGGCCTGCAGGATTTCATTTGGGAAGTCAAAATTTTGAAGATTAGGCCTCTTAAATGAGCTCCTTTGTGGTTTACAGACTGTTTACACAGTCAAGTACTGCAGTTGTTTCACAGTTTACATAGATAAAACCAATTTTATACTTGACCAGAAAAATTTTTGGGGGGGCCTGGCCCCCCAGGCTCCCCCTAGATCCGCCCCTGCTGATTAGACCTAATTATTCATACCAATTTTGTGTCTGGACGGTTCACGGCCATTGGTTTGCCACTAAAAGCATCTTTATTAATAAAGAAGTAATAGCAGAACATACATAACAGAGATAAGGTCAGTAATACAAAGAGCAATGTTTTCCTTGAGGCAGCCATGATGCATAACAATCACTATTAGTGGTGGGCGATATATCGATATTTTATCGATATTTTACGGTATCGATTCGTATCGGTATCGAAATTTTGAAGGAATCCGGATCGATACGTTGGCCACGCCCATTTATTATGGTTAAATAATATTAATAATGAAAATTTTAATAAGTTAATGACGTATAATACACACACGTGGATACACGTGCATGAAAACATCGATGAAAACAGTCAATAATAAGGGGTGTGACTCCATAGGTGTGGCCTAAATATCGTATCAAAACTGTATCGATACTCCCGATATCGATATGAGCTGATATCGATCGGTATCGTATCGAACCATTTTGGCCAGTATCGCCCACCACTAATCACTATTCACTATTAATAATATTGGAATGCGCACGTGATCAGTATGAATATAATTAACCCAGGGATAATACTAACGTTGGAATTATATCCCCAAGATTAACCTAACCACAGAATCATAACAGAATGTAATTTTTAAATTTAATTGATTGCAATGCTTTTGAGTTATATTCTTTATACAGTGGTGTAGGATATCTTACCACACCAGTTTGCAAGTACCCTCTTGTTTCTTTACTTTTCTCCAATTTAATCCTATAATACTTTTCCATTTTTAATGTTTTTTATTTACTTGTTATTAATAACAATACAGCTGCCAAACATTTGTGGTTACTTTGATCATGTATGCAGCATGTCCCTAAAAATAGAAATCAGCTCTATTTTTGCAACAAGTTGCTCAAAAATCAAAGTAACAACAAATCTTGCTATAGTAACATGTTGCCTGGTGTATGGAAGGCTTAAATATGCGACCTAGTGTCATACAGTAGGCAATTGCTAACAACATTCGTGGCAGGCTACTTTGCCAAAAATAGCAATGCCTTTAGACTACCAAAGGAACAAACACACTTCCTGCTTTTTGTCTTTTTTTCAGTAATCTCATAAATAACTTATTATTAGAAATACAAAAAATTATTATTGTTGATCACCTTGTGTAATAAAAACAGTACTAGATCTATTTAAATATTGTTCGTTTTGTTTTTCACTGCTGTGAATTGGGAATTCTTCTCTCATGCAACATGCATTTTGAACTTCAATTATTTCTCTCAGATGTTTTAATGCTTTGGTTTGTGGTTTCTGATGAGACAAAGTAGAGACTTTCCCATAATAAAGACCGGCATTTTCTTTAGGTGATTGCATTGGAGCAGAAGGTGATGTAGAAAATGAAGCATCAGTGTAATATTTCAATTGCTTATCAATGATATCCTGTGAGAACATTCCTCGTTTGTGAAAGTTGGCACTGCTGCCGTTTAGGAAAAAGTTCTGCTCTTCTCGGTGTCTTGCAGACCTCGATGCAATGCGGGACCTGCTTTGCTGCAAGCTATACAAGCTATTGCTCAATCTAGAGCTCATCTGCCATGGTTCAGCTCCCTCTGCAGTTCCTCTTCCTCTGCTTGAGGTAGGAACCCTATATTCATAGGAGGCAGGTAAGTATCTCTCAGCACGAATGGGGACGTTCCTTTTTCCTCTTTGAAGCCCAGATGATGGATGATACAGTGAAGACAATGGAACCTCCTGTAGCACTCCACTAGCATTGAAGGAGCCACCAGTTTGACCCAGTTCTGCTACTGGTCCAGATGCAAGTGAAGATAGAGGCAGCTAAAAATTAACAGAATGATGAACCATGCAATGATAGCTATACCTTTGATGTGTAGTTTCTTCTCTTCCATGTTGCTGGGTGCTGTCTTGCATACATGTAAGATTCTAAAGGCGTTGACATGTTACCCCTGAAGCCTGTTGATAGTCTACTGGTGGGTCTCAGCTCTGCCTGTGAGAGATCTTCAAAGTGTTGAAAGGCATTGAGAGAGCCAAACATGATGGAAACTTGCTCACCCAGCCACGCCTTTCCCCGTGAGCTCTTAGCTTTTACGTGGGCGTACCGCGTCAGCAATTACCTCGTTACCTTGGTAACTTAATGAGCTCCACCTAGATAGTCTTGTTGCATGCAATTCGCAATACAGTAGCAATGATGATTTGGCTTTCACAGTGTTTGGAAGTTTTATAGCTAGCTAGATAATAGACAACGACTGGAGTGCACAAACTAGTGAACTACTTTTACTATTAGACTAGTATCTAGATGACTAGATCTAAGCAACCGTTTCAAAAACAGTGGGCTGATTGTGACTTTCAACATAAACTATACACAATAAATTTACCAAAATATGCAATACAGAGTGATACACAAGAGTTTTTTTTGCACCCCATTACAGCTCATAAAATAGATTAGATCTAAGCCTACTCTTGTCATTCCGTGTTTTGACAATGCACATTTTATCTATAGGTGTGGTTCATCAACTTATCAAGTGCAAGTCAGCAATATTAGTCCCAAGCTTTCATGTCATTAGAACCTGCTCAGCTGAGAAAGGAGGTTGGCAAGGCTACATTTATTTTGGAAAATGTGGAAATAGGTTTAAAAATAAGCGACGGAGCTTATGGTGTCGTGAATGAAGTGAAAATCGATGATGGGACTCTTTGTGCTGGGAAGACGCCCCATGAATATCTTGTGAGAGAGGTATGTATCAAAGAGTTATTGTTCAGTAAAACAAGTTTTCGCCCGGGGCGCAGCTCCCGAGCCTTTTAACACAAAATTTACATTCTGTGTCAGTTGTGTACATGGCCATATGGACAGCTGGGCTGGGAGTGGCCAGACTGTACCACTGCACTGCACTGCACCACCATTCAATGGCATTGGCAGTAGTAGAATTAGCTGCATACTGATCAAAATATTTATAGAAGGGTTTTGTTTCTAGGATAAAACATTCCTTAAGAAGTTTTGTGATGAGGTTCTCCTTCACGTCAAGCAGCATCATCCTAACATTGTTCAAGTTATAGGACTCCATTATCCTCCTAGCTCCAGATTTATACCAATGTTGATAATGGAGTATCTTCCAATGACACTGGGAAATTGTTTAGACAAGAAGCAGCCTATGCTTGAACCTGAAGAGCTAAAACGGCCTCAAACCCAATACTCCATCCTTCTTGGTGTTGCTAATGGTCTTATTTACCTTCATCAGAAGGAACCACCTGTATACCATCGTGACCTCACAGCTTATAATGTACTGTTAACCGCCAACTTCACAGCAAAGATATCAGACCTTGGAATGTCCAGAATTGTTGCTGTTTCAGGTGAGAAGCTTACTGCAGCACCAGGCAATGTAAATGTGATGCCACCTGAAGCGAAGAAGGATAATCCAATTTATAATCACAAGATTGATGTGTTTGCTTTTGGCTGCCTCATTCTTCACATTGCTTCTGGTCAGTTTCCTGTACCAAAAAGAGATAGCTTCCAAGAGAATCCAAATGATGATACATGTACATCATACATTAAGATAACAGAGTGGAGTAGGAGATACAAATATGTAAAGGCTATACTAGATGAGGATGATCACGAGCTCCTTCCACTAGCACAACAGTGCCTCGAAGATAATCCTAGAGATCGACCTGAAATGATTGACCTTGTTCATTTCATTGAAAACACAAAGACAATCGGTTTAATAGACTCAAGTCTTGGCTCTATTATTAAAAATGCTCCTGAAGTAACCATCTGTGGAAAGAGGGTTCCAAACTGTCGTTCATGTCCGACATGTAATTACATTATAGAGCATGCTCCAGACGGTAGTAACAGATCTAGCAAGTTTGTTGTGTGTCCTCGTTGCAAAAAGGAGTACTGTTTCCTATGCCTTCAAGCAAGGGATGCTTGTTTGAAAGATGCACCAGAATCTTGGTATGGCGACTGTGCTAGGAACATTGCTCCAAGACAAACTGGAAAAATTAATTGAAATTTTTTAATAATTATTTTTGTTGTAGTGTTTAAAAAGTAATTTTAATGTGTTTTGATGAAATACTTTTTGGTTTAACTACATGTATCAAAACAGTACTTATGTCCTATAGATATAGCCACTTGATACAAAACTAATGATGCATTAAAACATTCACTCTTCACATAATCTGCCATTTATTCTTAAGTGATAAAGCACTACTCTATTATACTCTTCTAAGTAGAGAGAAGTGAGGGACTGGTGCTATCCCTCATGTGCTGTGCTATTCTCCTCCTCAGATTGTGTACACTATGCAACAACTGTGTCTCCTCGCCATTTAACTGCTTCCTATGGTGAGGCCATTGACCTGCTCCTATATAAAAGAGAGTAGTTGTATATTATAATTATTATTATTATAAGTACCAGTATGATTATTATCAGGAGGATTTATTGATGATATTTCTTCGCTGGAACTAGAATCCTATAATATCATATAAGTGTTATTAACTAGTATAAATGTATACATCTAATAGCAAAGTTATAGGTAATAGACATGTACATGTACATGTACATGTACATGCAAGTCATGCATGTGTACTTATTTCCTGATTAGTACAGGTACCTGTATAATATTATGATTGCTATCATCACATACTTTCATTGTTTGTAATTTCATAAAAGCTGTTTCCAATTTCTTCTCTTCCTCCTTATATTTCTCTTGTGCAGCTTGGAGGTTTTGCTCTTTTAAATCGTTTTGTAATGAGCGTAATTCCCGACAAGCTAACGCAATGTCCTCATTGTTTCTGGCTTGAAGATCATTTTCCAACTGAATCATGTTGGACTGGGCCTCTTGTATATCTGCTATTTTAGATGGTGGACTGAATCTCTCTGATTCTGTAAGAAAATCATACATGTATGTAGTACCATACAAATACAATGTACATGTACATGTAATTTTAACTAGGTCTACATTTTAGTAGAAAGTTTGAGCCGGTTCTGATCAAATTTGGATTTAAATTTTAAAGTTGCTCCAAAAATGAGCCAAAGTCCCTGTACTATGGTACAGTGATGACCACATTTTGTCAAAAATGAAAAGAAGAAAATTCTCTATTTTTATAATTATTCTTGATACATATACACATTCTTATGTTGTGTAGAAAGTTTGAGCTGATTCCGATCAAGTTTGGATTTTTTAATGAATTTTTAAAGTTACTCCAAAATCGGCCCAAAGTCCCTGTACTATAGTACAGGGTCTTCGGCCAAATTTTACCCAAAATTAAAAGGAGAGAATTCTTCATTTTTATAATTTTTTCTGATGCATATACATGTTCTTATGTTGCGCAGAAAGTTTAAGCTGATTCCGATCAAGTTTGGATTTTTTACGAATTTTTTAAGTTGCTCCATATGCATGAAGCAAGCTTTGTGGGAACCCAGTTTACAACGTATTTATTAACTTTATGAAAACATTTGAGTTTCCGAGCAATATATTCATTCTTTCTCTTTCTCAAACCTGTTCTTTCTCTCTCTACTTCATGAGCATTCCTAAGTCTATACATAGCTAGCTCATGACGTCTCAACAGCTCCCTCTCAAGACAGGCTCTCTGTGCCTGCAGTTCTAATGAGCGTATTTCAACCTCTTCTATGGCTTCTTGTGTCTCCTTATCCCTCAGTAATACCTACAGGTACATCCACACGAGAGATTTTCATACATGTACATGCTCATTTGTACCTTTTTCTCTATTTCTTTGTCCATTTTCTCAATCTCTAACTCTCTCAGTGTCTGTTGCTGCTGAAGATACTTTTGTCTCGCATCATCGAGCGATTTCAATTCTTTCAGTTTAGCCTCGCGCTTCATTGCAGCTAGTCTTGCCCTCTGGTCTGAGAGCTTCTCCTCCTCTAGCTCCAGCATCTTCTTCCTCTGAGACTCCGCCTGTAGGAGGAGCTCGTGCTGTCGCTGCCAAGCCTCATCTTCCTGACGTCGCTGCTCAGCCAATCTCTCCAGCTCAAGAGTCTGTTGCCTGTCACGTGAGGATCATGTGACATCAGAAACAATCGAATTAATTACGTACCTTTGTCTGAGGTACTCTTGTTCCTCTCTCCTTATCCTCTCTTTCTCTTGTAACTATAAATAGTAACACAATGATGTAATGCGCTATTCCTCTACCTGATAATTGACGATATATTTTGGGTATTTATTAAATATCGGATACGCTCCGCTTGTGAGAGGGACAAAGTCTCCCAGCGTCTTGTGTGGGTGTATGGCTGGGGGTGTGGCTTCCTGCATCCTGTAAGCATCTTGTAAAACAACCTTTAGATTGACTGTACTTTGATGCCTCATGAAATACTAAGAGAAAGAAAGAAATGCATAAAGATGAACAATAGGATTGATGAAAATCAAACACAACTAAATTTATCCTGAAAAATTGCAATTTATTTTGAGTGCTACATGTACATGTACATGTAGCACTCAAAATCTTTAAAATAAAGGCATCAATTAATTCATTAGCTATAGGAAGGCTTCCCTAACCTCAACGTCTTCAACAGTCGTGCATTTCAAGAGAGCCGAGCGTGCACAGGATATATAGGCAGCAGCTACCATTAGGAGGAAGGAGGGAGGCTGGGAGAGGACGTTGTCCCATAACTTGAGCCACTCTTCCTTGGACAAAGCCTCGCTGAACAGGGTCTGTAGAAGAGGCCAGGCATAGACCTGGGCGGTGATGTTATGAGATACGAAGTGTTGAAGTAAGTGATTATCGTGATGGGAGAGGAGGTTCTCTACCAGGGACAATACGTTCAATGGAGGATTAGGAAAATATTCAAACCAGTGACTACACCAATTGACTAAAGAAGAACAAGAACATATTAATGCACATACATGTACATGTACATAGTACATTTTTAATATGTTAATAGCAGACACTTTGTTGCTATTTATGCTTACATAATATGGTGGCGACCATTTCGAATATTACCAGCTGGTTGTTTTGAAAATGCTTGACGAAAGGGAATATGAGAGGAGGAAGGTAATCCACTTCACTGAACAATGGACTCCAGTGGGACAGAGCAGAAAGGGTGCTATAAAGAGAGATCAGAGAAGATTAAAATAAATAATAAAATAAATAATTATAAAGAGCATAATAATTTTAAAAATAACAGTAGCAATAATGAATAAATAAATTAATAGTAATACCGTTGCAGTATTCTTAGTAGCTTTTGGCTCTTGATGGGGTACTTGTCTCCAATGTCAATGTAAGCAGAATGAGTCCCTTTATCCAGGAGTGTGGAGTAAGACATGTGATTGAGAGGTAACTGAAGTAATGAACGCCAAATAAAGGAACTAGAATATAAAAAAGAAAATACAGTGTAGTTATAATGCTTATATGCACATGTACATGTACATGTATCAGTTATTAATGGTGGGTTTAATGTTTTATTTTTACCGATATTTTGCTGGGTATTCTCCATAGCCTCTCAATATGCTTCTTAGTTTAGCTAAATTGAGAGACACGCCTCCTCCAGCAGAGCTCGTTTCACCTCTCTTAGCGGACTGACTGGTTTTAGAAACAGGTTTAACAGGAGGATCAGGTACTGAGGTAGAGGATGAGGAGAGTTTGGAGACTTGAGAAGAAGACTTCTCAACTTGGAACAATTCGGAGACCGTTAAAGAAGGCTGACAAAGAAAATAAAGAAGAGAAATATAAAGCATTTGTCCTACCAGATGGTGTGCTTTTAAAGAATGAGAGAGATCATATATTAGGAGGGAACCTTGCTCAGTAACAGCTGCTACATGTCTACCCATTGGGTCAATGTGAGCCATTGAGATTAACTATGAGAGAGGGGGAGATGAAGTGGAGTAAAAGATTAATTTTATTATAATAAGCTTAAAGTACCTCCTCATCTTTACCTCCTAGTGTGAACAGCAGCTGACATCCAGTTACACTAACAAACCTCAGCAAGCCATCCTGTGCCAACATACCCAAGACCTACATATCATAATAAAATAATAAATGATCATATTAATTTCATTATAATGTCACTGCTGCATAGAGTGACTTATAGTGGCTATTATTATTGATATTTATTGTTACAGACCTGGCTTTTATGTCCATCAAAAGTACCAGGCACAAAGAGGAGTTGTTTGACGTTCTTTACTTTTGATGGTAACTGTATGACGTGTTCCAACACGTGTCTCTTCATGCTCCATATGTACAGTATATTAGAGCGACCACCAGCAACAAGGAAGGAGCCTGAACAATGGATGAGACAGAGCAAGTTTGAGCTGATTCTGATCAAATTTGGATTTTTTATGAATTTTTAAAGTTGCTCAAAAATCAGGCAAAAGTCCCTGTACTATAGCACAGGGACTTTGGCCAAATTTCATCAAAAATGTAAAGTAGAGAATTCTCTTTTTTATAATTTTTTCTGATGCATATACATGTTCTTATGTTGCGTAGAAAGTTTGAGCTGATTCTGATCAAATTAGAATTTTTTATGAATTTTTAAAGTTACAAAATCCGCTGTAACAAAGTATAGGGACTTTGGCCACTGAGAGAACTCCCCATTATAGCTACACATGTACATGACGTTAGTGCATATGCTTACCATCTTGTGTGGTAGCGAATGCTCTGTAATGAGGAGGAGGGCCAGACGGAAGTGGAAGGTTGTATTTATAATCAAGTGTACTAGTGTCCCACACGTGAATGGAGTCATCTTTGAAACAAGTTATGATACTGTTAGTCAATGGCAGGAAGAACACCTTATATACAATGAAATTAGGAATAAAAAAATATAAGAATATTTCCAGCCCCTTTCAAAATTGTATGAGCAACCTCTCTTCATTAAGGACACCATTGGGCCCACACAGAGGTGTCCTCATTTCAGTGGTGCATTTGTAAAGGTTTGTGCCAATTGGGACATTAAAATGTCCTCACTATAAAGGTGTCCTCATTATAAAGGTGTCCTTATTATAAAGGTGTCCTTATTATCAAGGGTACACAGTCCAAGAGGTTATAAAAGAGAGAGAGAGTGAAAGGAGCTTACATCTTGCACCCCAACACTTTCACCTCCACACAAGGTCTTGCGTCTTATGCCAGTATTGATATCCCATAGGACAGAGTCACAGGCTGTCACTACTAACAGATACTGACCACTCTGAGGCAATGAGAGGGACTTTATTGACGCTTCATGGGGACCAAACGTAGTTATCAATTGACGAGAACCTATTAATAATAATAATAATAATAATAATAATAATAATAATAATGATAATGAAAAATGGGTAGGATAAAATGCATGTACATGTACATATATGCACCAATTTATAAAGGTGTCACCATTCATTGATGAGTGAATTTAAAATGAGTACATGTACATGCATTAATACTCACCAATATTTATACAGTGCACATTTAAATCGTTAGTTGCTACAAAAAGCTCGTTAGAGTAGGTGTGGCTTATCAGAAGTGCTGTACAAGTTTTTCCCAACCGATACACAACCTGATATCTACACATCATTTTTAAAACGTAGCATTTTAAAAAGAAAATTAAAATTTCTCACTTGTTTCTGTAAACGTCAAAAGAATATATTACGCCAAGTTGATCAGTTGCTATGAACCAGTTGCCATGACAACCAAATGTCACCCTGGTAAAGGGTACATGGCGGCCGGCAGCAGTCAGACCAATTCTTGTGTTCCTAATACTCAATAGAAACCTAAAGAAGATAAAATAGTATAAATTGACTTGGACTAACCCATCCTTCTCTCTGGGCGTTGGTTTTCTGCCCCAAATGCTCCCGCCATCTCCTCCACAGAGATCTATGCTCTCCATTTATCCGGACACAACATTTCCCGGGAAATTTTTGAAAAATACAAAGAGGCGCGAGAGTTAAAATTAAGAGTTTGCGAGCATGCGCAGTAGGATCTCCCGCAGATTAGTGGGGAATGATTAAGAATCATAAACAACAAGACTAAGTATCATTACAATTGTTATGCATAATAATACATTGTGCTAAAATCATAATGTGTGTGTGGCATGCAATTAAAGTTTATCAGTGTCTTTGAATTGCTCTTTTATTGCACTATCCAATGCAATGAGATACTCCTCAAGATTAACTGTATCTTTCTATAAAAATAAAAGCATAATAACTTATTGTCACTATAATAGGATTCAATAATAAAGTAAATGTAGGCCAGCAATGTAGCAGTACCTTGCTGTATAGTGCATGTGCTAAAAATGGAACTTTTCTAAGACTTCTCCCAGATAGGCCCTCACTCTTCATAGCAAGTTCTCTTAATTGAAGACTTGATCTAGTAGCATCATTCTCAATAAAACCCATTACCTCAAGGGATCTGATGTAAAGTAATTTTAAACAACATTACTAATAACAATCAGTAGAACATAGAATGCAGGAATAAATGCACTAATAAAACTGTGCAATATTATGCAGATTTGCACAAATACTATTGTTACATTACAAACCTTAATCCCAGTACTTGTTGTACAGGTGCAATAATGCCAACTCTCATTAATTCCTTAATGCAGGACATGAATATTGAAAAGACTGCATCAAGTGAGGGTAGTCCAATATACTGCTTTATATCAGCTCTGTGTACAATTAAAATTAAATATATCCTTATCTTCTCTCTCTCTCCTTTCTTTCTACCTTACCTATCTACAAAAGCCAGATCAATGGCTTCAGTGATATTTGATGTGGTCAGTATCAAGACATTAGGATAACGCTTAATTTGATCGATCTGTGTCAGGAGTGCATTGACAACTCTTATTGCATCAGATGGTTCACTCCCTGACATAGCAGCATTACGAGCTACAGTGAGACTCTCTACCTAATAGCATTAATAATAGGAGCTAGGGATTGGAGAGAGAGAGAAGGTTCTCCTACCTCATCAATTAGTATGCATATCAAAGCATTATCATCCTCAACTAGTGTATGTATCTTAGAGAACATCTTCTGCACCAACTTACCACTCTAATAATAATAAGAAATAATAATAATAATTATTATTATTTTGGGTATACTAATTGCTGACCTCAGAGAACCATTTAGAGAAGAGACTGTGACTGTTGATCTCAACTAACTGTCCATAAGAATACCTTTAAATACAATTATGAATGATTTTAGTCTATGAGATCATACCTGTCTGATAATCTAATGCAGAGTTTCTGAGCCAATGCCTTGCAGAGTGAAGTCTTCCCAGTCCCAGGAGGTCCTATAATAAAGGAGTCGGTTAGCTGGTTCTGATCTATTATGTCACTGACCATGAAGGAGGACCACTCTGTTCCATGATATGATTGTAGAGTCAACACCTCTGAGAATGTAGCAATGAGATATATAAGAGGAAGGTTTTTTGTGGTAAAAAAAATTTTAAAGTTGTACATGTATATGAATTATAGTTAATTTATAAATCTAACTTGTCAGAAAAGAGTAGAGTAGTTTCAGCATAGTTTAACAACTAAATAAATAAATAAATAATGACAATAATAATATAATCAAAAATGTTCTCACTTTTTGTTTAATGCCAGGTTCGTAAATTAGACTATCCCATAAATTGTGATACTCAACTGTAAAGCAAATAAAAAATAAGAATAAAAGTATATTTATTAATTGAAGGACTAAAAGTTTACATGTATAGATAAATGAATGCACAACTAGAAGTGAAAGGAAAGGACATACCATTAGGCAGTAGCCAATGTGTAGCAGCAGTAATGCTGGTTTCTTCTTCAACTTGATCTTCAGATGGCCCCTCCTCACTTAGTTTGAATACATGAATCAATAAATTAACTAATGAGAAATTTATTATCTGTGAGAAAGAAGGAGAGGAGAAAAGAAAGATGAACATGAACCATAAGGTATGAACCATAAGGTAGTCTGAAGCATTTTATATACATGCAAATATCATTAGGTACATATGGTGCTTCACAATCTGGCTGAACTGAAGCAACTTTAAAAATTTGTAAAAAAATCCAAATTTGATCGGAATCAGCTCAAACTTGCTATGCAAGATAAGTATGTGTATATGTATCAGAAAATATTATAAAAATGAAGAATTCTCTATTTTTCTATTTTGGCAAACTTTGGCCAAACACCCTGTACTATATATAGTACAGGGACTTTGGCCCAATTTTGGAGCAACTTAAAAAATTCGTAAAAAATCCAAATTTGATTGGAATCAGTTCAAACTTGATATACGGCATTAGAACATGTATATGCATTTTTAAAAATTATAAAAATGAAGAATTCTCTATTTATCATTTTTGGTGAAACTTGGCCAAAGTCCCTGTACTATAGTACAGGAAATTTTGCCAGATTTTGAAGCAACTTTACAGCATAAGCTACAGTTATAATTCAGTCCCAATTAAGATATAAATGGCATGAAAACATTAAACATGCATAAATGTGTACATAATACATGTACATGTAGCATTATAGTACAGTAGTACTTGTATTTCATGAGATATGTCAGTCACGGTGACAGAGAGTATGTGCTCTTGGAGTAACGGATTAGAAAACTCTGTCGCTACAAATTCTCCAAAAACGACACCTTTTAAAAGGAGGAGGTCCCTCACTTGCTCCCTCACCAATGAATAAGGCAGTGTACTAACAATATAAGAAATGCAACAAAGCAATATTGAGCCACAAAATAAATAAATAAATTAATTAATTAATGCCATAATTTACCTTTCAATATTCTGACAGACCTCAACATGGACTGTATCAATCTGAGAGGAAAGAGAGGAGGAAGGAAGAGACTCTGAGAGCTCCTGCATACTAGTCTGCATTACTTTTTACTTGATATACGGAGATAGTATACGTACAAAACCGATGGAGACACTGGGACTACCTCCTGTAAAATTTTGAATTCCCCGCGCCGAGGATAGACATCACGTGACCAAATGATCAAATATGGCTTCCAAAACAGAACCCGCCAATGGTGAAGAGAGAGGAGCAATCCAATCACCAGAACAAGCACCAAATGAGCAGCAGAAAGGAAGAAAAGTCGTGAGAGGAACTAAAGGTATCAGACTCTACTACAGTGTGTACTTTGTATGAATTATTTTTTTAAATTCATGTTAATAATTATAGCACCTGAGATTCCTTTATTTGAGAGAAAGAATTGGCTGCTTCACCTTCACTACGTACGTAAAGACTATGAGACGTGCAAGGTCAGTTATGATCCTACCTTTATTAATTCATACTATTAATTATTAGGTTTTAATTCAAGAGCTATTGAACGAAACCAGTGGCCAGTGTGAATATGCCGTGTACACTAAAGGTAATTAAAATGGGTGTGGTTAAGTAGTTATATTAAGTTTATTAAAGGTCTGATATTGCGTCAAGAGGGTGACTTGAATGAGTCCCTGAGGTTCTTCCAACAGGCAGTTCAACTCAATCCCAATAATTCATCTAATGTGAAACAAGTAGCACGCTCACTGTAAGTTTAAAAAATTAATCTTTAAATCACACTGTCTGTTCTCTCTCAGTTTTCTTCTCGGCTCTTACAAGACTGCTCTCGCAACTTACTCCGAGGCAGAACTGCTGACTCAGGATTGGGTGGGTGGATGGGCGTGGCTTAGCTATAATTCATGATTTTTTGTTTGTAGGAGGTGCTCCATAACAAAGGAGTCTGTTACATTCATTTGAAAGAATACAAAGAAGTGAGACTACACTACACAATGTACATTGCATAATTTGACATTATTGCCCATCAAAATTATGTAATAATCGATTACATGTATAGTTACATGTATATACATGTACAATGTATGTTGAAATCCATAAGATTCATTATTTATTTATATTGCACTGTGCAGGCGATACATACACTAACAAAGGCAATACAGTTGAGCCCACAGATAGTCTCATTCAAGGAATTAGGAAGGTCTCATCTCATACTGGGCGACATACATAAAGCCATTGAGACTTACCGTAAAGCAGTCAAGCATAATCCTGAAGATCCCGAACTACTCGCCAGCCTAGGGCTCCTCTATTTGCAAGTAAGAATAGATATGGAATTTTTTAGAATTTTTTATCAATTCTTTTTCTTAAGATTGGTTCCTCTCAGAAGGCATTTGAGTCCCTTGGTAGTGCCTTGACCTTTGACCCAAGCAATTATAAAGTAACAATCATCATTAGTTATATTTACTGTCCCTTTCTCTCCTTCTTATCAAGGCCATATTAGCGGCTGGCTCTATCATCCAGTCTCATTCTGATAATGATGTTGCTCTCTCAAAGTATCGAATTGCAGCACAGACCTCACCAGAATCACCTCATCTGTGGAACAACATTGGAATGTGCTTTTATGGAAAGAGCAAATATGTTGCTGTATGTTCAATACCACCAATGCATGCTACTAAAGAGTACATGCATTCAGTTGCCATATTGTTTTTAGGCTATAAGCTGCTTAAAGAGAGCTACCTACCTTGCTCCTTTTGAGTGGAAGATACTGTACAATCTGGGGCTGCTTCATCTGGCAATGTCACAGTATCCTTTACCATTTAATTGTGTATTGTTTATTTCTTTATTTCATTGATTCTGTTTATCCTTAGCTATTTGTATAGATATGCATCTGCATTTCATTTCTTAAGATCAGCTCAAAGGTTAGAGCCAAAGAGCTCAGAAGTATTAATGTTACTTGGTAGTAAGTATCACACAATCACTGGTAATATCCTGATTATATCTATCTCTATTACAGTCGCTTTAGCTCATTTAGATGATTCCGAGAATGCTTTGAGAGCTTATGGGCAAGCAGTTCTACTCAAACCGTAAAATGCTTTATATTGTATCTGTGACTCTTTATCTTTTGTATAGGGATGAACCACTCTTGCATCTCAATTATGCTATTGCTCTGTACAATAATGGTGATGTTAAAGGGTCTGCTGTACAGTATCGCAAATATCAATCAAGATCAAGATCACTGGAAGAGGAAGACCCTGATCCCGAGGTACAGTGATCTCTGATCAATGCTGATTCTGATTTTGATCAAATATTGATTCTATTTTGATATTGTACTTTTGTTAGGTTCAAGAGGTTAGTTTTAAACTGGGTGCTTTGCTCCAGATTGGTGAGACTAGTGGCAAGGTACCAATACCTGTGAAGAAAGAAGAGAAGAAAGGAAAGAATGGCGAGGAAGAGGAGGAGGAAGATGGAGAGAGAGTGTATAGTAAAATTGTGAGGCAGTCTGATGGAAAGAAGGTCACTGTTCAAGTTAAAACAAAACTGAAACAAGTTAGAAGAAAATGTGCACATTGACATAATATTATTCTTTCTTTTTTAATAGGCAGAGAAGTAACGACATTAAAAGACGACAACCTGGTCACTCTATTTTAGTATAAAATTCATTTGAAATTCAATAAAATAAGGAACGATAATTATGTGATGCGATGCATATAGCTAGTTTAGCAACATTAAAAAGTTGTGGCTTTGATCTTGTAAGAAACATGATCTCCACCCATTAATAAGTTAGCAGAACTTAGCACGTGCCACGAATTTGCCAGTGGTGTCACATGGCCCAGCGCTTTTGAAGATCTTTATGTGCTTAGGACTAGGTACTCTTATGTATTAGGTGCTCAAGAGTTGTGCTACCGATTATAACTGTTGTTAGTATGGCAGATCTGATTGAGGAGCCTAATTGTAAAAGACCACATTTAGGTAATGTCAAAAATTAACATGCCTGCATTTATAACAATTCCCACTGCCATTGAATCATTATACTTTTAAATTATGTAGGCAATACACCTACAAGTCAAGGTACAAATGAACATGACAAGGTAACTTAAAGTAATAGGGCTCTTAGCTCTAGCAACACTGGATGTTCACGTGAGGAATTCCCTCACAGTCACAGGCATGATGACTACACTCGAGTTAAAAATTTTAATTTTGTTTTTCCCATAGCTTGACAAAAAAATTAACAACAGTCGAAATTTTTGCATTTACTGTGACTGCCAGAAATTCCTCACATAATGTATTTATGCATTCTACCTTTTCATGGGCTCCTGATGCATTTTATACCCACTTCAACAATAATTGTATGTCACATTGCATCATAGCAATAGCCTAATGCATGTCAGTTCCTCTGTGTTTGGTACTGGTATTTAGTATGCTCTCATGTTCTCTTTTTACACAGTTTGACTTTCTAAAGATGACAAAGCTTGCTGCAAATATCAAGAGTCTCCAAGAGAGCATCCAAACAAAGAAACACCAAATTAATGTATTATACACTAAACTAGCCCAAGCCAAGTCCGAGTCACGTCAATTACGTATAATGCAGTTTGCCTCAGACAGCAACACGCAGTTGAATGAGTACAAACAAGAATTGGAGTCTAAAATGACAGAGCTAACACATTTTCATGGCAATTTTAGATTCAGTGTTGAGGAATCTTGCAAGTTGTAAGTATGCATATACAATGCACATTCCATATGAGAAAATGCATGCATTTTTTTGTTTTTTGTATGTTCCTGGTGTTTTTGCATGTTCATGTCTTACAGTAGGCATAGTTTCAGCATGTTTTGAGTTTCAGCTTGTGCTTGCATTTTGCTGTATAAAAGGGTATGGGCAATAAAAGGGTATGGGTGGAACTATACTTGTGGATATGCAGCTTATATCTAATCTTTGCATTAATGAATTAATTATTTTTGCCCATTTTGTCCTGATTTCTGCCTAAATCCAATTATAGTCTTTTAAGTTAATTACCATATAGCGGGTAAATTTGGAGGGGCTAAATATTGGCGAATTGCTAATTTTTGGTGATTGGTGGGTTTAAATTTGGCAAATTTGTGGCCATGTGCCATTGAGCATACGTATCATGGCTCAAAATGGCAGGTTTTTAATTTGGGAATGGCTATCAAAATGCCAAATTCGCCAAGTTTACTCCCCTCCAAAATTACCCGCTATACGATATGCTCACAGTTTATACAAATAACTATAATGAAATAAACCAACCTCCCACCCACATTTGGCCTGCCTTTGGAATACTATGAATTGCCTAATGTAAATTTAATTACTTAAATTTTACTAGGTCTTTTTGTCTTGTTGACCTCATTTATCCAACCATATTGGAAATATCGGTCGTTAACAAAGATATGAGAGCCAAAATTTCGCCAAGTATCTTGCCACCATTACTAACGCCGGTTACTACAAAAAGTCGTGATGCCAGTGGTGAGTATAATATGCTAGCCACTGGTAAATATATACATTTTTTCAACAACGTTATAGCTGCAACAAATGTTCGTTCATCTCATTTTCAAAGACTTTCACCAATAAAAACTGCAGCACCGAATATAGAAGTTACATACTGCCCAGAATTTGTTCCGCCGAAATCGTTCCTTGCAGATTGTGACAGTAAAGAATTGGTGACCAGCATTTTAGTGGATGTTATACCGCAACTGTTTGCCCTACTTCCTTCTTTAAAGACAGAAGAAGCCATCAAGGATGCTTTTATTCAAACTACATGTATGTGCACAGATGTCCACTTTGACACATTAGCAGTGAAAGGTCTGAAAGCCAACAAGAATACACACTTTGTGCGTTGGCTGAAGGTACACTATGGAAACAAGTTTATCATTAAGGACAATGAGTGTTTGACAGAACTACCTGTGACACTGCACCAATCATCTCGGCCTGACTTTTGTCTTTTCCCCAAATCAAATAGCTTTTCTGCAGTGTCTGTATCAACCCAACCAGAAGAGGATGAGGACCCTGAGCAGATTTCCATATCATCAGAAGAGGAGCTGGAGGGTGTTGAAGAAGAGGAATATAGTAAAAAGCAAAAGGCTCAGGCACTCGCAAATATGGTTGCAGTTGCGGGATTTCTTGTAACTAATGCCATCTTAAACGATAAAAAGTTCCATAAAATTACTATTTATGGACTACAGTGCTGCTATATAGATGACTGTGCTTCGTTAATGAAGTTAGTTTTAGATTTTGAGAAGAAGGCTTCAGACCTATTTGAATATAAAGGCACACAGCGTATTGGAAACCAGATTGCACGGGTCAGTGCAATAATAGAAAAGGAAAGTCAACTGTAATCTTTGCTTGAGTAACAGTTACCTCAGTGTTATTATTAATATTATTGTATATAATCAAGTTAAACCATAATTATTATCATTATTGTTACCTCTCTATTTCACTCTTCCTTTTTAAATATTATTGTTGGAG